ATGTAATGTGTGTGTAGATAGTGAGTAATTGAACTGCAGTCAGAAGTATTGTTGACATTCGTTGATATAGCGTTTGTTATAGAGCGACTGTTGAAAATAAGTGTATCGTAAAATTGTATTCGGAAAGAATAAACCACTTTTATTAAGTAAGGACTTGTGTCGCTAAAGTTTCGTCGGAACGAAGTTACGGAAAGTTAATTAACAAACGGAGACGTAACAATATATAATAATATTATGTTTATCACAGTTTCAATTTCTTTATTTGGTTATTGTGCGACTTTATTAACATCTTAATACACTATGTATCTGTTTAAAAAAACAAGTTGATGACGAATATTAAATTAAATTGCTGAAAATGAAAAATTCAAATTAAATATTGTCCTATTGGAAATTTCACCTTATTAGCTTTATCACTCTAAGTTTTTAGATCATTTAAACGTTCGATTCCAAAGATTCTTTATTTCAATATAGTTTATCGTTATACAGTTTATAAGCATTATCTTACTACTGTTGCAAAACTCAAATTAGTAACCATTTCTTACATTTAAAACTTACAGTTTAAAGGCCAAAAGCCGACGATCATTGAAACTCGGTAGGCCTAAAAATTACTATAAAAATCAAATTGACTGCAAACGTTTTTCTGGTTTTCAATACATTACGTTCTTTTGGCGTTTAAACCCGCCATTTAAAGTATTATACTGCATTTACAAATATAATTTCATTGTGTCTTTTATCTATCGTCCAGCCAACTGGCTCACTAAAACCAGGCTTAGATATCCGTGGTGGGTACGGCATAGTTAGCCCATTGTGTAGCTTTGCGCTTAACAACAATACACACATAGCGAAAAACTATGTTGTTTACTATATTGTTATTTCTCAAATCTAAATATTATATAGTGTCGTCAAACAGAAAATGCTAGATGACATGTTAACAGGAACCGTCAAAAATAAGTGAACTTGAAAACATTGTTATGTTCTGTTTCTACGAAAGTTAACGACTGCTGTGTAATGCATTTTAATTAGAGGCAGTTTCTGGAAATTAACTTAAATTCTTGTTTCGGTATCATCTTATATTAAGAATTAAATAAAACGTATTTCTAGAAGCGTTGCTTCGAAGATGTGAGCAGACAGATATTATGAAAATCAACCACTTCCACGAAATGTTTATCCCTACCTTTCTCAAACTTGTCAGGGTTCAAGTCAATTCCAATTATGCGGCTGGCTCCACTGTCTTTACATCCTACAATAGCAGACAGTCCTACACCACCCAAGCCCCAAACGGCTGTGGTCGACCCGGGTTTTACCTTTGCAGAGTTGGCTGCAGCACCGTAGCCCGTGGTAAAACCACAACCAATAAGGCATATGTCTGTCATTGCAGCCTTGGGGTTAACCTACCATGTAACATTACATCGCTTATAGCATTATACAATATGAGAACAAAAATAATTAAACTACTCAACAGTGATCATTTCATACGCAAATGTTACGTAACAACTACAGGGAACATCGTAATAATAATAATAACGCTTTCTAACTTCATTTACCCTACAATACGGTAGAACACCTAAATGAAATATTCTACAACAGTCATAATGTGAACACCTTTTATAAACTGACGAAACATGGTTATTATTAAACATATATAATACGTGTTATTAGGCCCATTACATTTTTCACACAACATTCTCTATTCAGTTTGGATCAATACCTTCGTATTTTTCTGTTTTGTTTTGTTTATTAAAGAAGACGAAAAGTGTATAATAGCATTTCAACCACACTCTGTCCGCCCTATCCATTGCCAACGATGTGTTTTCCTCAATATAGAACTCGTAATGCTGGCTGGGATACAATAAACATAGGAACATTATTTGTATAGAATGTAGTATTTAAAAACAATAGGCCCGATACTAATATATTATAAAAGTATAATTAAAAATGTGTACAGTTAATGTGCACCATATCTGTGACATGAATACAGTTAATGTGCACCATATCTCTGACACGAATACAGTTAATGTGCACCATATCTCTGACACGAATACAGTTAATGTGCACCATATCTCTGACACGAATACAGTTAATGTGCACCATATCTCTGACACGAATACAGTTAATGTGCACCATATCTCTGACACGAACACAGTTAATGTGCACCATATCTCTGACACGAACACAGTTAATGTGCACCATATCTCTGACACGAACACAGTTAATGTGCACCATATCTCTAACACGAACACAGTTAATGTGCACCATATCTCTAACATGAACACAGTTAATGTGCACCATATCTCTAACATGAACACAGTTAATGTGCACCATATCTCTAACATGAACACAGTTAATGTGCCCCATATCTCTAACATGAACACAGTTAATGTGCCCCATATCTCTAACATGAATACAGTTAATGTGCCCCATATCTCTAACATGAACACAGTTAATGTGCACCATATCTCTGACATGAACACAGTTAATGTGCACCATATCTCTAACATGAACACAGTTAATGTGCACCATATCTGTGACATAAATGTTAGTAAGGATAATGTTCTAACTGAAACACCCTCGTTGTTTAAAGGCAACAAAATTATTCCCACAAAAATAACGTTAATAAATTAATATAGAAAACGAAGTTGAGTTGATTGAGGCTAGAGAATGAAGGTGATATTTTTATACCTAAAGCTTGATAAAATTAGCATGGATTTTTTTTTTTAGTTATGTATTATATTTAAATCGTCCATAAATGGCCAAGAACAAAACCTGCATGGGAAGTGATTAGGTTTAACCCCTTGCTTACTATAAGGGTGTACATGGTGCGCCCTCTATTTCTTTTCTCAGAGGCAGTAGGGCTGACTCTGGTAACGTTTTCTTTTAACCGAATTCTATGATATATAGTTTGTATGGCCTTTCTTGTATATACAATAAATCAGCGTAATATATTGACATATATATATATTATATTTAGTTAGTTTGTTTGTAATTAAACACAAAGCTACACAATGGGTTATCTGTGCTCTGCCCACCACGAGTATTGAAACCCGGATTCTAGCGTTGTAAGTCCGCAGACATATCGCTGTGCCACTGGGGGGCATTATATTTAGTCAACCATGCTTAGTTTGAATTTTCCAAACCCTAAATATAAGACAAAAAATATAGATAGAATCAATATTAAAAACGGCTGGTGCTAACAGTCACCTATATACATCCACAGAAATATGACCAACTGTTTCCGTTCCATTGCGCTGTAAGCTTACTAAATGCACAATTGGGAAACACGTCAACTTGCTATTGGAATAGTTTGCTCACCTTGACCACGGCGATATCAGGTAAAACTGTGTACTCAGAAAAAGTACTGGTACCCATGAAATGGTGAATTTGTTTCCCTTTACAACTGAACCGTGTGGTACCGTCAGGCATCACTCCTCGTGCTTGGGAGTCACTGCAATAAATAGTATATACATACATATGCATACCAACACAAGCATATTAACTTAAACACAATTAGCATTTTTCACTTACATGTTTAATGAAAAAGAAACTTGACGCACGAAACACGTTTTATGAATTTCGTAT